CAGAAAGCCAGAAAATATGGGAAAGGATGGGGAATATGAGTATTTGTGTGTATTTATTTGTGTGTCCCAATTTCCCTTCGCAAACGCCACACGTACTGAAACTCGGCCACGCGCAGAGGGGGGTGGGGGGGAGGGGGGAGGGCTTCTTAAAAGCACCCGTGCTCCTCAGAAGGCGCGGGCCTTCTCTACAGATGTGAGGTTGGCGCCCTCTAAGGAGCAGCCTCCTTCTAAGAAACCCAACCCCTTCCCTCCACCCCGTTGTGCGCACCGCCAAGAAGCCTTTGAGAGACAACCGCTACACGCATTTAAATCTTGGAGAGACAAGCGCTACACGCATGTAAACTCTAGATGCGCAAGTGCTATACGCGCCCTGCAACCTCAGAGAGGCAGCCGCTACAGACACTGAAACCCTTGGAGGCGCAAGCATTACACGCACTTGAATCTGGGAGAGATAACGCACGCGCGCAAACCTAACCTTAGAGGCACGAGCGCCCCGCACAGTTAAACCGCACAGACACAAGCGACATCCGCGCAAATTAATCATCTTCGTCGCCGTCGTCGTCGTCGTCGTCGTCTGTCGTCATCATCGGCCGTCGTCGCGGCGAGCAGCCGCGACCGCGACGACGGAGAGGGACGAGGAGGAGTGAGACGAGGATGGTTCGGTTGTTTGGCAGGGTGGCGGCCGTGGCGCCCTGCTTCGAAGGAGGAGGCTGGGGGGGAGGGAGGAGCAAACGGAGAACAAGGAGGAGGAGGAGGAGGAGGAGGAGGAGGAGGAGGAGGAGGGGAGATCTGCTCCGCTCTGCGCCGCTCCGCTCTGCTCCGCTCCGCTCTGCTCTGCTCCGCTCCGCTCTGCTCTGCTCCGCTCTGCTCTGCTCTGCTCCTCTGCCCCATCATCGTCTTCCTCCCCCTCCCTTTCTCCCAGAGCCTTGTTCACGCGCCGCTCCTGACGCGCCACCCAACCATGGCACCCACCACAAACCTTACCGCCAGCGCAATGGCGGCGCTCAAGCTGCTGACGCTGTGCGCCCCGCTGGCATCGGGCATTGCCCTCAAGACAGAGGCTCGGGGTGCTGCCGGAGGTGGCCAAGAAGACCCCAGCTTGCCCAGGTGGCCTCCAGAGTACCCCTTCACTCGGATGTTGATAGAACCTCCACCCTGCTAGCTGCCAAGTCGAGGCTCCAGGTTCGAGGTTCGAAGTTCGAGGTTCGAGGCTCGAGGCTCGAAGCTCGATTGTGGAGTTGCTTTGCACTCTCTCTCTCTCTCTCTTTTTTTTTTCTCTCTCTCTCTAGAGAGAGAGAGAGAGAGAGAGAAAAAAAAAAAGAGAGACAGAGAGAGAGAGGGCGCTGCGGCCCCAGCTCTCGCTGGCCTGCGCCCGCCAGGCCTGACCCCGGTCCCGTTTTGTCACGGCGGGGTGTTTTGGTCAATGGGGCCCTGTCCACCCTCGACTTGATGGGCTGATGTTCCACCACCACTACCACAGGCAGGAAAGTGAGGAGGAGGAGGAGGAGGAAGAGGAGGAGGAAGAGGAGGAGGAGGGGGGGGGAGGAGGAGACGGGGGAAATCCTCCCCATCCTCCCTTCTCCCCCGTCCTGCGTATGGCAGGGGTGGTGGAAAATTGACCCATCACGACGCACCAGGCCCAAGGGGCCGCCGGCGCCCCGAAAGGGCGCGGAACGCTGGGGGCACCTCTGGGGCGGGGCCACCCCGCGGCAGCCCCCATGGGAGGCCCGCAGCGCGGGGCGCGTGGCTGCCAGCGCCGAGGGGCGCTCGAGGACCCTGTCGGCGCAGGCCCTGCAGTACTTCCACGCCCTCAACGCCTCGTCGTCCAAGAGGCCCGTGCTCGTGCCGCCTGGCGACGTCCGGAGGGCAGAGGTGTCGCGGCCGGCCGCCGGCCGCCCCAGCCTCCTGGGCGTGGACGCGAGCCAGGGCCTCCGCTCGGGCGGTGGGTTCCAGCCCTCGGCGGAGTTCCAGGCTCAGGCGGAGGCCGGGCAAGGCCAGGGCGCCGAGCTGCCCTGGGGCGTCGGCACGCCCCGCGGCGGCGACAACTGGGTGGTCCACGAGTACTCCGCCATGCACATGCTCGACGTCCCCCACTGGGTCGAGTACAGCCTGGAGACGGGGGATAACATCCAGACGTTCAGCAACGCCTGGCAGGACGTGAAGCTCATTACGCAGGTGCTCGAGAACGTCACCAACGGCTTCTACCTGGACACCCACGGCGGGGATGGCGAGACGCACAGCTACACGCTGCTGCTCGAGATCACCGGCTGGCGCGGCCTCATACTGGAGCCTCAGATCTACGAGTTCGCTACGCTGTGGGGCAAGATGCGGAAGGCGTGGCTTTTCCTCGGGTGCTTGTCTCCGACCGGGAACGCCACAAAACTCGGCTTCGACACCGATGGCGTACTCGACATGCTGAGCGGTCACCAGATCCACGCCTACAACTTGCCCACCTTCTTGGAAGAGATGGGTGGCCGCAAGACCATTGACTTCTGGGCCGTGCACAATGGTCATTACGAGGCAGAGGTCCTGAATGAGACATTCTTTGGTTCAGGGAAGAACCTCGAGTTCGGGGTCGTCCTGGTCCGCTTCGATGGTCGTCGCGCCGGCCGTGGCTCCCAGTGGTTCGTTCAGCACAGGTCCAAGGACGAGACCGAAGAGCTCATCTTCGAGATCATGCACAACGCCAGCTTCAACTACATCGGTGGCCTGGACGCGTACTGGATCAACTACGTCGAGCCGCGCTTCCATTACAACGACCACGTGTGGGTGAACCCCGCGTACTTCGAGCGGCGCGGCATCCCGGTTCCCACATGGTGCAAGTCGGCGCCGCCCCCCGCGCTGCAGTACCCCCGCCAAGGCCACCTTGACGTGCCTGGACTGGACAAGCTTGAGAAGTGGACAGGCTCGGGCTCTTCCCCCGGGCCGCACGTGTATGGACAACCGACCGACATGAAGGCGGGGGGCATCCCCCATGGATACGGGAGCCCGGGCATCCCCTACGGGCCGTCCTCGCGCAACCCGTTTGGCATCGACCATCAGGAGTACGACGACCCGTCATACATGTCCCTGGGGTCGAGCAACCCGTCGAAGCCGGGTCCGCAGGGAGGAGGCGGGACCTGGGACCCCCGCTGGAACTGGGACGCGGGCTACACCTACGCGCAGGAGACCGACAAGGTCGTTGCGTACATTGCGAAGGCGAAGGCGGATGCTGCGTTCACGGAGGAGCCCGCCAAGGCGCACCGCGTGCAGTACAGCCGGCTCTTATCAGTGGAGGGCCGCTGAGCGCGCACGCCTGCGCGCTGCGCGCCAGCCTGGTCACGCGAGGTGGTCATCGGCACGCGCGCCGCTCCCAGGGTGCGGCCGCCTGGGTTCCGTGCATGCCATACCCCTCACATTCTGCACGTCCGTGGTCAGCCCCGATAGGGGTGCTTGGTTCGCGGTGGGCACGCCGTCTTTTGCGCGTGCGGAAAAAAGCGTGCGTGCTGAGTAGACTGAGTAGACCAGTCCACTGGCCGATAACGGGGTTGGTGATGGGATGCATCGCATTTTGACGGGCAACTTGTTGTTAAGAGCTACGTTTGACTTCCAGGAGGCCTGCACTTTGTGGAAAGTCTCCAAACCATACGTGCACTAAGGGTATCAAGTATCGGTCCTGAATTTCAAGGCCTCTTGCAGCCGCCATGCGATAGAGCCTGGAGCCCGCACCAGCCCTAAGGGTGCAGCATGATTTCAAATATGCCCCAGGCACGCGGGAATGGGTTTGCCTTTAGGCGGCGCAACCGACGGCCTTGGCTCGACGTCTCCTTGCCCTCTCCGATCGCCGCGGGCACATATGAACCTGCCATAAGGCAGTTCTGCTACCAAGAGTAACCTTCATGGTGCGGGTGCGCTGGGGTCCCCAGATGATTGAACGCGATGCGATAGCAGCTTCTGGCGCGCTCGGGCTTGGCCTCCCCTGCGGCCCCCAAAGAGCCGCGCACCAAAGGTCACTCTTACCCTGGTCACTCTTGCGTGTAGCCGGACGGGGCCGGAGAGCGGCCGCGGACGGCGGGAAAAGGGGGGAGGGCACTCACAGCACGAAGACCTTCGACTGGAGTGGCCGGAGCGGCCAGCCTGTGCTGAGGCAGCCTGGCAGTGGACGCGGAGCGGCATCACGGCCACACCCAGGGGCTGAGGCAGAGGCTGCAGGCGCAGAAAGAAAACGTGCACAGCATGGGCAAAGCTAGTATTGAGGGACAGGGGAAAGTGCGAATTTTGAAAACATTTGGGGCGTTCCGAAAATGGCCTTGCCCTCGAGCATCGAAGGAATTGTCCTTCTCGTCCGCAGCGGAAAGCCGCGGAAGGCCGGCGGAAGGCGGCGGAAATAAAACGAGGGTGCCTCCGCCGGCGGAAGCTCGGCGGAAGCCGGCGGAAGCAAAAGTCGTGGTGCTCGCTGGTCCGTTCGATCGCGCTGTACGCGCTGGAGGTAGCCTTCCTGACCCGAGCCGATCTGAAGAAGTTGGAACGATGGCAGACCCGCAAACTTAGGCATATGTTGCGGTCCCCCGCTCACATGTATCGCGTCTCCAATTCGGATATTCGTAAGCGAGCCGACATCTTCAGTGTCAGCTCTACTCTGCTGTATCGTAGGCTTCAGTGGTGGCGGCATGTCATATCACCTGGACTTCTACCCGAACCCCCAGACTATGACCCCACGTTAGCTATACGTTCAGTTGTATTCGGGAAGCTTTCTTTCGAGGACTCCAGGTGCCGCAACCACTCTTGCCGAATTGGGCAACTACTTTTGGATCTTCGGGCGCTTTGGGCTCGCATCCCAGCAGCTGACAAGGAGCGAGCGCCGTCCGATTCGCCATGCGTTTCTCGCGACTGGCTGGAGTGGCTAAACATGTTCTCTGTTGCCGAGCTCAGAGTTGTCCTCTCGCACGAAGCTGAGAGCGACTGGACGCACGAGGCAGGGGAGATCGATGCCTCTCGACTTCTTGTGTGTCCAGAGTGTGGAAAAGGATGCAATGGTCAGAAGGGGCTGGAGAACCACAGGTTTGCGGTCCACTCAATTATTGCCAACCGTGTGAATATCCCTTTGTTTGACCTCAGTGCCCGCAGGTGCCCATATTGCTCCCAAGTATTTACTCGCAAGGACACCTTGATCAGGCATATTCAATCGAAGCGTTGCCCACATCTCTCGGATCCGCAGCTTGTTCGGGCCCAGTCGCTACCATCGCTTCCTACTTCAGATCGACCTTCAACGACCGCAGCAGAGCCCAGTATCTCGGGGGGCGATGTTCATTCCCGCGGCCGAGCTGGTCAAGAAACGAGACGCGGGCGAGGCAGGAGTCGAGAGCACCAAACCGAACGCCGACACCGAAGTTGCAGGCATCTCGAAGAAGGACCGCTTGATGACCAAGCTTCTGCTCCAGCACGAGGACAACTTTCGGGGCTCGGCGAGAGACCAGAACGTGGTGGTTCGGCTCCGAGTCGGATCACAGATGCAGGTGGCGCTGGAGTCGAGCACGGCACACTACCAGAAGGTAGGGAAGGAGGCCAGGGACACGGTCGCGGCCGCCGACTATCGCGGCCACCCCCTCGGCAAGAAGCCCGACGCGTACCTCCGCATGCTGTTGTTCAGATTGAGCGAGGCGGTGGAGGACAGACTCGAAGAGGTCAAGGCCGCGGTTGCCCAGGGCGCCAATCAACAGGAATCAGCCGTGGCGTTGATGACGCTCGTGGAGTTCGGGAAGAGCCTCAAGGACCCCGAAGTGAAACTCAAGGCGACGAGGTGCTTCGACGTGAGAGTGACAACGACGATCGACGGAAAAGAAGTGGAGGAGGCCAAGTGGATATACGCCGCTATGTCGCACCCAGCGGTGATGGCAGCGTTGTATGTCCTCAAAGCCAGTGGGGGGTTGAAGTCAGCGAGTTTGATCTTGGAGGACGACGAGGCTCCCTTCCAAGACTGCCAAGGAGCTCGAGAGGATGATATTCAAGGGGGGAGGAGACGGAACCCACGGAAAGCAGAAGCGCCCGAAGAAGAAGTGAGACCCCGTGCAGGCCCCAGCAGATCTCAGCCTACAGTTGACATTCGAAACTATTTCCAAGTTCGTGGGCAGGGCTCCGAGGGGACCTAACTCAGTTGTTTTCATTGATGAGGGCCCGCCTTTACACTACATAGAGGGTGTTTAGGCGGCCGCTCTCGTAGTGCCATCCCCTCAGAGGAGGGGGTGCTCGAGTGCGGGGCCATGGGTCCCGCGTGCGTGCTCACTCTTCTGGCCCTCTACCTCGTTGTGCTTTGCATGTTTGAGGTTGCGCCGTGCATGCGGTTGGTTTTGAGACGGGCCCGACGCTAGACATCCAATTGATTTTTCTAGGGTGTTGCGCTGGTAAAAGAAAGCAAAAGTCCCCCCCCAGGAGATGGCACGTTTTAGGGTTCAGGTTTCTGGCATCCGCCATGGGCCACCCCAAAAGTGACGAGCGAAAATCACACACATGCCCACTGGGAGTGGAGGACTGGCTATGGGTACGGGTGTTGGTTGTCGGGCCCGGGGTGGGGGTCCCGTTCGAGCGGGGAGCACCATCCGACACCACGCACCCATAGCTCCCTCCGTCCCCCTCTATGGATACGGGCGCGTGCTGTTCGTTCAGCAAAGAGATGACAACGTTTTTGGATTCAGGACTTTGGGAGTCGGCCATGTGTCGCCCCACCCCGAAGCCGAGGGGCCTGGTCGCTCGCGGGTGCGGGCGCACCCGAGCAGCCGCTGAGCCAGATGTGAGGGGGGGCCTTCGCGTACAGTTCGCACATCAAATATAAACAGTACGTTTGCCAGCATTTGCCCGACGGGAGTTCTTGATCCTTCGATGGCCCTACGAAACCACAGAGTTTGTGGGACTCCTCGTGAACTTGGAGGCTCGACGCACAATCAGCTCGATGAGTTATTATAGTTAGTTTAGCAAGCTGTTCTATCGCATGTGCCAGCTGTAGTTGTTCAGCTTGCCCTTGGCCCGATTTGCCTCCGTGAACACCCCGGCATCTTCACGCGCAACCTGTAGCTCACCAGCATGCGGTCCACAGCCAGGCCTGGCCCAGGAATCACCAAGCGCGTTCCACCATTTGCAAAGTGCTTACTCGCAAGCATCCCAACAAAAATGTCTGCTTGGACAAGGTGTCTCGTCGATCCCCTGCGGCGAATCCAGGCCATTTGCGAGTAGTTACTTTTGGGAGTAGTGGGACGCGCTCGTGTAAGGAACATCAACACGAATGAGCGAGTATCCTCATCCTCACAGCAAGTTGACCCCTCCTTCTAATCCTCTTCTTCCAGGGGCTCAAGGAATTTTCCGCTCCCCGCATTCCTGACCATGGCTCCTACTACACACCCTACCTTTCATGCAGTGGCGGCGCTTTGGCTGCTGACCCTGTGTGCCCCTTCGGCCCGGGGCATTGCCATCAAAACCGAGGCCCGCAGCGCGGGGCGCGTGGCTGCCAGCGCCGAGGGGCGCTCGAGGACCCTGTCGGCGCAGGCCCTGCAGTACTTCCACGCCCTCAACGCCTCGTCGTCCAAGAGGCCCGTGCTCGTGCCGCCTGGCGACGTCCGGAGGGCAGAGGTGTCGCGGCCGGCCGCCGGGAGCCCCAGCCTCCTGGGCGTGGACGCGAGCCAGGGCCTCCGCTCGGGCGGTGAGTTCCAGCCCTCGGCGGAGTTCCAGGCTCAGGCGGAGGCCGGGCAAGGCCATGGCGCCGAGCTGCCCTGGGGCGTCGGCACGCCCCGCGGCGGCGACAACTGGGTGGTCCACGAGTACTCCGCCATGCACATGCTCGACGTCCCCCACTGGGTCGAGTACAGCCTGGAGACGGGGGATAACATCCAGACGTTCAGCAACGCCTGGCAGGACGTGAAGCTCATTACGCAGGTGCTCGAGAACGTCACCAACGGCTTCTACCTGGACACCCACGGCGGGGATGGCGAGACGCACAGCTACACGCTGCTGCTCGAGATCACGGGCTGGCGCGGCCTCATACTGGAGCCTCAGATCTACGAGTTCGCTACGCTGTGGGGCAAGATGCGGAAGGCGTGGCTTTTCCTCGGGTGCCTGTCTCCGACCGGGAACGCCACGAAGCTCGGCTTCGACACCGATGGCGTACTCGACATGCTGAGCGGTCACCAGATCCACGCCTACAACTTGCCCACCTTCTTGGAAGAGATGGGCGGCCGCAAGACCATTGACTTCTGGGCCGTGCACAATGGTCATTACGAGGCAGAGGTCCTGAATGAGACATTCTTTGGTTCAGGGAAGAACCTCGAGTTCGGGGTCGTCCTGGTCCGCTTCGATGGTCGTCGCGCCGGCCGTGGCTCCCAGTGGTTCGCTCAGCACAGATCCAAGGACGAGACCGAAGAGCTCATCTTCGAGATCATGCACAACGCCAGCTTCAACTACATCGGTGGCCTGGACGCGTACTGGATCAACTACGTCGAGCCGCGCTTCCATTACAACGACCACGTGTGGGTGAACCCCGCGTACTTCGAGCGGCGCGGCATCCCGGTTCCCACGTGGTGCAAGTCGGCGCCGCCCCCCGCGCTGCAGTACCCCCGCCAAGGCCACCTTGACGTGCCTGGACTGGACAAGCTTGAGAAGTGGACAGGCTCGGGCTCTTCCCCCGGGCCGCACGTGTATGGACAACCGACCGACATGAAGGCGGGGGGCATCCCCCATGGATACGGGAGCCCGGGCATCCCCTATGGGCCGTCCTCGCGCAACCCGTTTGGCATCGACCATCAGGAGTACGACGACCCGTCATACATGTCCCTGGGGTCGAGCAACCCGTCGAAGCCGGGTCCGCAGGGAGGAGGCGGGACCTGGGACCCCCGCTGGAACTGGGACGCGGGCTACACCTACGCGCAGGAGACCGACAAGGTCGTTGCGTACATTGCGAAGGCGAAGGCGGATGCTGCGTTCACGGAGGAGCCCGCCAAGGCGCACCGCGTGCAGTACAGCCGGCTCTTATCAGTGGAGGGCCGCTGAGCTCCCACGCCTGCGCGCCGCGCGCCAGCCTGGTCACGCGAGGTGGTCCTCGGCACACGCGCTGCTCCCATGGTGCGGCCGCCTGGGGGCGCCCTTGCATGTCCCTTCTGCCCCTCCGTAGTGAGCCCCGAGGATAGGGGGATGGCGGCAAGAAGGGCGCTTGCGCGTGCGAATAATTTCGCGCGCTACCTGTTCGACCTCCTTGCTTGTGCGCCGTTGGAAAAAAAACGGGGAGCATCGCGCCGCGGCCTGACCAACCTGAAACGTACTACCATCCCTCTGCTAGCCATCACCGCATCTCGCTGCCGATCTCAAGGACTCCCATCCCTAAGGTTGCCATCGCCTTGGGCTTGTTCTTGGGGGCAGGGATGAGCTCGAGACTGGCTGGCACTTGCCCGCCGCTGCGCTGGGCACGCCCTCTTCCTGCGTGTACGGAAGAAGCGTGCGTGCTGAGTAGACCAGATCACTGGCCGATGACGGGGTTGGTGATGGGGTGCATCACATTTGACGGGCCAGTTGTTGTGATGGGCTACGTTTGACTGACGTGTGGGCTGCACCTCGTGGGCAGCCTCCAAACAACATCTGCACTAAGGGTATGTCAAGGCCTCCTCTCGCCGCCGCCATGTGATAGAGTCTGGAGCCCACACCAGCCCTAAGGGTGCAGCATGATTTCAAAGATGCCCGAGGCACGCGGAGATGCGTTCGCCTTTATGCGGCGCACGCGATATAGGCCTTGGCCCACGTCTCCATCCCCTCTCCGATATTCGCAGGCACCAATGCAGCCATGCGACCAAGAGTGGCCTTCTTGGTGCGGGTGCACTGGGGCCCCCAGATGGCCGAACGCGACCCGATAGCAGCGTCTTGCGCGCTCGCGTTTGGTCTCCCCGCAGCCCCCGTTAAGCCGCGCCAAGGGTTACTCTTGCCTAGGGTCACTCTTGCGTGTAGCCGACACGAGAGGGGACGGGTCGGCTACACGCAAGAGTGACCTTTCGCCAGAGTGACCTTCATGGTGCGGGTGCGCTGGGGTCCCCAGATGATTGAACGCGATGCGATAGCAGCGTCTGGCGCGCTCGGGCTTGGCCTCCCCTGCGGCCCCCAAAGAGCCGCGCACCAAAGGTCACTCTTACCCTGGTCACTCTTGCGTGTAGCCGGACGGGGCCGGAGAGCGGCCGCGGACGGCGGGAAAAGGGGGGAGGGCACTCACAGCACGAAGACCTTCGACTGGAGTGGCCGGAGCGGCCAGCCTGTGCTGAGGCAGCCTGGCAGTGGACGCGGAACGGCATCACGGCCACACCCAGGGGCTGAGGCAGAGGCTGCAGGCGCAGAAAGAAAACGTGCACAGCATGGGAAACAATAGTTTTGAGGGGCAGGGCAAAGTGTTCGTTTTGGAAACATGTGGGGCGTTCCAAACATGGCCTTGCCTTCCAGGATCGAAGGAGTTGCCGTGTCTTCCGCAGCGGAAGGCCAGCGGAAGGCGCCGGAAGTAAGACGAGGGCGCCTCTGCCGGCGGAAGGTCGGCGGAAATTCGGCGGGAGCCGGCGGAAACAAGAGTCGACCTGCCAAGAGATGGCAGACAACATGTTTGGGTTCAGGGTTTCCGGCGTCCGCCCTGTGCCACCCCAAGACTGACGAACGAACAACACACACACCCATACCCATAGGGGGGTCGGCGAGAGGATGGCTGGCTATGGGTATGGATGCGGGTTGTCGGACCCTGGGTGGGGTTCCCTTTCGAGCCAAGAGCACCATCCGACAACACGCACACATAGTTTCCCCCTGTCCCCCCTGTGGGTATGGGCGCGTGTTGTTCGTTCAGCAAAGAGGTGGCAACGCTTTCGGGTTCGCGGTTTTCGGAGTCGGCCACGTGTGACCCCGAGGCCCAGGGGCCTGGTCGCTCGCGGGTGTGGGCTCACTTGAGGGGCCGCTGAGCCGGATGTGAGGGGGGGGGGGGGCCTTCGCGTACAGTGCGCACATCAAATATAAACAATCCGCTCGCCAGCTTTTGCCCGACAATAATATCATCCCCCGATGGCCCCACGGAGTCACAGAATTTGTGGGACACCTGGTGAACCTAAACGCTCGACGCACAATGTGCCCTATGATGTGTTGTAGTTTTTATAGCAATATTTTTTGTTCGCATGTGCCCAGTGTAGTTGTTCAGCCTGCCTTTGGCCCGATTTACCGCCGTGAACACCCTGGCATCTTCACGCGCAGCCTATAGCTCACCAGCATGCGGTCCAAAGCCAGACCTGGCCCAGGAAGCTCAACACGAAGGAGCAAACATTCCCATCCTCGCTGCAAATTTACACCTCCTTCTAATCCTCTTCTTCCATGGCTCCTACTACACACCCTACCGTCCATGCAATGGCGGCGTTTTGGCTGCTGACCCTGTGTGCCCCTTTGGCCCGGGGCATTGCCGTCAAATCCGAGGCCCGCAGCGCGGGGCGCGTGGCTGCCAGCGCCGAGGGGCGCTCGAGGACCCTGTCGGCGCAGGCCCTGCAGTACTTCCACGCCCTCAACGCCTCGTCGTCCAAGAGGCCCGTGCTCGTGCCGCCTGGCGACGTCCGGAGGGCAGAGGTGTCGCGGCCGGCCGCCGGCCGCCCCAGCCTCCTGGGCGTGGACGCGAGCCAGGGCCTCCGCTCGGGCGGTGAGTTCCAGCCCTCGGCGGAGTTCCAGGCTCAGGCGGAGGCCGGGCAAGGCCAGGGCGCCGAGCTGCCCTGGGGCGTCGGCACGCCCCGCGGCGGCGACAACTGGGTGGTCCACGAGTACTCCGCCATGCACATGCTCGACGTCCCCCACTGGGTCGAGTACAGCCTGGAGACGGGGGATAACATCCAGACGTTCAGCAACGCCTGGCAGGACGTGAAGCTCATTACGCAGGTGCTCGAGAACGTCACCAACGGCTTCTACCTGGACACCCACGGCGGGGATGGCGAGACGCACAGCTACACGCTGCTGCTCGAGATCACGGGCTGGCGCGGCCTCATACTGGAGCCTCAGATCTACGAGTTCGCTACGCTGTGGGGCAAGATGCGGAAGGCGTGGCTTTTCCTCGGGTGCCTGTCTCCGACCGGGAACGCCACGAAGCTCGGCTTCGACACCGATGGCGTACTCGACATGCTGAGCGGTCACCAGGTCCACGCCTACAACTTGCCCACCTTCTTGGAAGAGATGGGCGGCCGCAAGACCATTGACTTCTGGGCCGTGCACAATGGTCATTACGAGGCAGAGGTCCTGAATGAGACATTCTTTGGTTCAGGGAAGAACCTCGAGTTCGGGGTCGTCCTGGTCCGCTTCGATGGTCGTCGCGCCGGCCGTGGCTCCCAGTGGTTCGCTCAGCACAGGTCCAAGGACGAGACCGAAGAGCTCATCTTCGAGATCATGCACAACGCCAGCTTCAACTACATCGGTGGCCTGGACGCGTACTGGATCAACTACGTCGAGCCGCGCTTCCATTACAACGACCACGTGTGGGTGAACCCCGCGTACTTCGAGCGGCGCGGCATCCCGGTTCCCACGTGGTGCAAGTCGGCGCCGCCCCCCGCGCTGCAGTACCCCCGCCAAGGCCACCTTGACGTGCCTGGACTGGACAAGCTTGAGAAGTGGACAGGCTCGGGCTCTTCCCCCGGGCCGCACGTGTATGGACAACCGACCGACATGAAGGCGGGGGGCATCCCCCATGGATACGGGAGCCCGGGCATCCCCTATGGGCCGTCCTCGCGCAACCCGTTTGGCATCGACCATCAGGAGTACGACGACCCGTCATACATGTCCCTGGGGTCGAGCAACCCGTCGAAGCCGGGTCCGCAGGGAGGAGGCGGGACCTGGGACCCCCGCTGGAACTGGGACGCGGGCTACACCTACGCGCAGGAGACCGACAAGGTCATTGCGTACATTGCGAAGGCGAAGGCGGATGCTGCGTTCACGGAGGAGCCCGCCAAGGCGCACCGCGTGCAGTACAGCCGGCTCTTATCAGTGGAGGGCCGCTGAGCTCCCACGCCTGCGCGCCGCGCGCCAGCCTGGTCACGCGAGGTGGTCCTCGGCACACGCGCTGCTCCCATGGTGCGGCCGCCTGGGGGCGCCCTTGCATGTCCCTTCTGCCCCTCCGTAGTGAGCCCCGAGGATAGGGGGATGGCGGCAAGAAGGGCGCTTGCGCGTGCGAATAATTTCGCGCGCTACCTGTTCGACCTCCTTGCTTGTGCGCCGTTGGAAAAAAAACGGGGAGCATCGCGCCGCGGCCTGACCAACCTGAAACGTACTACCATCCCTCTGCTAGCCATCACCGCATCTCGCTGCCGATCTCAAGGACTCCCATCCCTAAGGTTGCCATCGCCTTGGGCTTGTTCTTGGGGGCAGGGATGAGCTCGAGACTGGCTGGCACTTGCCCGCCGCTGCGCTGGGCACGCCCTCTTCCTGCGTGTACGGAAGAAGCGTGCGTGCTGAGTAGACCAGATCACTGGCCGATGACGGGGTTGGTGATGGGGTGCATCACATTTGACGGGCCAGTTGTTGTGATGGGCTACGTTTGACTGACGTGTGGGCTGCACCTCGTGGGCAGCCTCCAAACAACATCTGCACTAAGGGTATGTCAAGGCCTCCTCTCGCCGCCGCCATGTGATAGAGTCTGGAGCCCACACCAGCCCTAAGGGTGCAGCATGATTTCAAAGATGCCCGAGGCACGCGGAGATGCGTTCGCCTTTATGCGGCGCACGCGATATAGGCCTTGGCCCACGTCTCCATCCCCTCTCCGATATTCGCAGGCACCAATGCAGCCATGCGACCAAGAGTGGCCTTCTTGGTGCGGGTGCACTGGGGCCCCCAGATGGCCGAACGCGACCCGATAGCAGCGTCTTGCGCGCTCGCGTTTGGTCTCCCCGCAGCCCCCGTTAAGCCGCGCCAAGGGTTACTCTTGCCTAGGGTCACTCTTGCGTGTAGCCGACACGAGAGGGGACGGGTCGGCTACACGCAAGAGTGACCTTTCGCCAGAGTGACCTTCATGGTGCGGGTGCGCTGGGGTCCCCAGATGATTGAACGCGATGCGATAGCAGCGTCTGGCGCGCTCGGGCTTGGCCTCCCCTGCGGCCCCCAAAGAGCCGCGCACCAAAGGTCACTCTTACCCTGGTCACTCTTGCGTGTAGCCGGACGGGGCCGGAGAGCGGCCGCGGACGGCGGGAAAAGGGGGGAGGGCACTCACAGCACGAAGACCTTCGACTGGAGTGGCCGGAGCGGCCAGCCTGTGCTGAGGCAGCCTGGCAGTGGACGCGGAGCGGCATCACGGCCACACCCAGGGGCTGAGGCAGAGGCTGCAGGCGCAGAAAGAAAACGTGCACAGCATGGGAAACAATAGTTTTGAGGGGCAGGGCAAAGTGTTCGTTTTGGAAACATGTGGGGCGTTCCAAACATGGCCTTGCCTTCCAGGATCGAAGGAGTTGCCGTGTCTTCCGCAGCGGAAGGCCAGCGGAAGGCGCCGGAAGTAAGACGAGGGCGCCTCTGCCGGCGGAAGGTCGGCGGAAATTCGGCGGGAGCCGGCGGAAACAAGAGTCGACCTGCCAAGAGATGGCAGACAACATGTTTGGGTTCAGGGTTTCCGGCGTCCGCCCTGTGCCACCCCAAGACTGACGAACGAACAACACACACACCCATACCCATAGGGGGGTCGGCGAGAGGATGGCTGGCTATGGGTATGGATGTGGGTTGTCGGACCCTGGGTGGGGTTCCCGTTCGAGCCAAGAGCACCATCCGACAACACGCACACATAGCTCCCTCCGTCCTCCTTGTGGGTGCGGAACTGAGGGATACAAGACTCCTGCCCCTCCCAGTTCCACAGCGGGGTCTGGCGGCGGGGCGCGGCAGCGCCCGAGGGACAGATGGTCTTTCTCAACCTTGTGCTCACGCGTCTGTAGCACAGTTTCGCCTCAAGCCGGCTCGAGCCGAGCCGGTTGCAAGAAAGAAAGAGAGGATAGTGGGACAGAAGGGAACAGGAGAGGATCATAAGGGTCTAAAAGGCGGGAGCAGGGGACAGATCCAATCCGAAAGGCTCGTCTTTCCTCACGGATTCTTATTTGTGGATCTGTGCCCGGTTCAATGGCCGACCTCTGATAAGCAAACCATCAAAACAGTTACCCAAAATAAAGTCGCCATGGTCGCGAGCCACGGCGGTGAAATCTCAATATGAAGCGAGCCCGGAACCAACGCTGCCGGGCTCCTGAAATCGCACGCAGAAAACTCTGTCCAGAAATCCTGTCATTCTCTCTCACGATACACAAACGGACCAGCCGGTCCAATCGGATATACATATTCCGAGGATGAGGGGGAGAGGGTAGATAATTAGCACCACACCGCACTCGAGCGTACAAACCTGCACTAGCCTCGGCACAGCACGAGCTTAGACAATTGGAGGAGGAAAAAAGAACGTCAAACTTCTCACTATGTCTCGAGAGCTCCTGGCGTGAACTTTCCATCCTTACTGAGTTCTCGCATCTTGGCCGTCCATCGCTCTCGAGCTACTCGCCTCGCAGTCTTCACCATCTCTTCCCGAAACTCGATACTCCATGTGCCACGCTCTAACGTCTCTCGAAGATGGTCCGCCGGCATGTCCTTCGTCAAAACATCATTCAACATGTTGGTCCCGTCCGTCCAGCGTACCATCGTCTGCGGCCTATCTAGAATCTCTCTGATGCTGGCCAACTCCAGGTTGACCGACTTCTGCGCCGAGCTGCCCACGCCGGCGTCTGAGTTGAGCCTGTCGTGGCCGTCCTTCGAGTCCGTCACAATCGTCATCGGTATCTGCCACCCGGACAGCTTCATGCCAGCGCCCCTTGCCACGGGGCCGTACAACATTTCTGCGATCTGGTCGCGCACGCCTTGGGCCACGTCCACCGCGTCGCCCACGGAGATCACCTCGGCCGCGTAGGAGCTCCGCGCCGCGCGCTTCAGCTTGTGGCTCTTGCCCGCCAGCAGCGAGAACCAGCCCACGCCGCCGTCCACGAGCGCGCGGTCCGCGAACAAAATGAGAAAACCTGCCTGGGTGCCGATCTTCTCGGTTGCCGGGTCCGACTGCAGCGCCGTCCCGTCGTTCATCACGTTGCCCAGCGAGCTGTCCGACACCACCACCAGGCCGAAACGCTTGAGGTCAATCGGGCGCATCACGATCTTGAACGTCGAACTGCGCTTCAACTCCCTCAGCATCTGGTTGGCCTTGATCAGTGCCGAGACCCGCGGCCCCTTCTTGCGGCCCTTCTCGCGCTGAAACACCGCCAGATCGTAGGAGTAGTCCACGCGCAGCTTGGTCACCAGCCAGTTGATCTTACCAACTACCTGCTGGTACTGCTTCCACTCCGTCGCATTCATGGGCTCATGCGCTCCCGCGCGCCGCGCCCTGGGCACAGTCACATGCTCCAGGCCGGCCGCGTACTCCATCATGTCGATCGTGATGGCTCCACCAGGCTGTCGCTGAAATCGCCTGCCACAGAACACAAAGTTATCGTACTCCTCACTGCCGAAGCCGAACTCCTTCCCGAGCGCGTCCATGACCTTCGCCATTTTGTCGTTCCCCGTCCAGAGGAAATCGTCCACGTGAATGCAGACACAACCCCACATCGTGTCTGGCCCGCGCTGCTTCGCCTTCGGGTCATGGAACACCAGGAAGGCAGGGTCCGAGCGAGAGGGTTCCAGTCCCAGCTTGCGCGCCGCTGAGACCACCTTCAGATACCACAGCCTCGGTGCCGTGGGCAGCCCGAACACGCCCTTCCGAACTCGCGCCAGCCGACCTCGTGGGAAGTCCGCCAGCGAGGGACCGTGCATCGGAGCGCGGATCACCAGGCCGCGCTCGTCCACTTCGCCCTTCAGCAACGCACCGCTCACGTCCTTGGACCCGAACTTCCACTCCGGGTGTGACGCCGCCACCTGCGTCAAGATCATCTCCGACTGGGTGGTAGCGCAGGGAGCGTCCACCCTCACGTTAGCTTTCTCGTCCGAACGTCCGGGGTCGCCACTGTTGACCACGAGCCTCGCGTTCGCCTTCATCGGCAGGTCGTTCGCCTCCGTCCTCAGCGGGTCGTTCTTGTCGGTCAGCACCCACCGCGTGCTCATGATGTAGTCGCCCTTGCCGTCGCGCTTCATCTGCTCCTCGAGCTCGGCGGACTCCTTCTCCAGCAGCACCTCCACGGACTCCGTGTCGATCCACTTCGCCCACTGCGCCGCTGCCGCCTCCTCGTAGTTCGCCTTCGTCGGCGGGTCCATCCGACTCCAGATCTTCTCCTTCCGGGCCTGACCCTGCACGAGCATCGCCTCGAACTTGGGATCGGTCACCGGCACTACCTCCAAGTGATCCAGGAATATTCGTCGATCCGCTTCAGGAGCACCTTTAAGCCACGCTTTCGCTCGTTTCTTCACGCCCTTGACCCAGAGCGCCTCGTCGGGGTGCTTGGGCTCCGATGGTCCATCACGTCCTCCACGAGATGGCGCCTCGGGCAACTCAGCCTCCACCACGTCACGCTTCCTGCCTTGAGACTGGACCTCAAGCTCCGCAGACGCCGACTCCACCGCGGGCGTGCTGAGACTCGAAACATCACCTTCACGTCCTTGGTCTTCGTCTTCAGCGTCCTCGGCGTGTGGAGTTCTCGGCGCTAAGTTGCCGTAGGGTCCGAACTGTCCATCTGGAATAACATTCGCCACCGTTGCTGCAGCAATCGAGGGCCTCGATCGCTCACGCACCTCTCCGACCTGCTTCTGGATAGTCTTGGCCACGCGCATCGCCTTGGACGTGCGCGGATCCTCGCCATGAGCCCGCAGCCGCTGCGCCACGTTCTGCAGGAAGACAGTCTTCCCGCTCTCCCGAAAACTCGTCTTCCTCGAGAACTCGGCGCTCGAGATGGGCTCGAGCTCGTCACTGGCCGAAACGCCGGCCATCGCAGCCACGACGGCCGACGGTGGGATTCCCTCCGTCGACTCCTGCTGCTCCTGCTCGTCGTGCTCCTCTACGTCTTCGTCAGCCTGAGAAGGTCGAGCCTCAGCCTCCGGCGCTTCACCTTCGTCGGCTGGTACGCCGTCGTCCTCCTCCTCATGGCGAGCTCCCCGTCAGCCTTCATGTCGAGAAGAGCCTTCTCCATGATGTCCAGCTGCTCTCTGGCACTGATGCCCAGCGCCTCGTCGGGCGACGCGCGGCGGACTGCCGCAGGGTCGCACTTGGTCGACAGCCCCTCGTACGAGACGTAGATGGCTGCTGGCTCAACACCGATCACGACCGCCGGCCCATGCCAGGCTTTGAAGATCAAGGACGGGCCCCTCTTCCGCCGATTCTTGCGCTTGCCCTCGCGGTAGAAGTAGACCACGTCGCCGAGCTTCACATTCGTGCTGGGAGGCATCTGGCGGCTGCGAGCAACTAAAGCACGCCGCAGTCGCTTGCTGGTGTCCAGCTTCTCCAGGGCCACCTTCGCCGCACTGTAGACTTGCAGCCGCTTCGTCATATAC